GAAGAAAAACAAGAGGAAGCATGTCTAAGAGCACAACATAGTTAAAGGAATTAGAAATCCAAGATTATTACCATCATGTTCTACTTTGTTTTCCCCAAGCATGACTAAAGTATCTCCAACAAGTGTCTACTGCATTCCACATGGTATTTAGCACATGATGTAAGCATTACATGTATGCATATCCATGCTTTCCTCACCTAATGCAAGAGAAGAAATAAAAGGAAAACATGAAGTTTACCAAGCATGCTTTCATCATTATTATGCAGAATATGTTAAATTTCTACTTACAGAAGGAGATGAAAGAACCACCCCATGATACCAACCAAAACCCTTTCCATTTGTCCCTCAAACTTCCACCTCTAAAAAGACTTCTTTGTGTTAAATTTATGAATGAGGTTAGGGCTTACAAAAATGAAGGATTAGTAACATTTGCTCGAGCCAAAAATAGTATGATAGGCACCATCCACGCTCCCCTACGCAGCTCCGCCAATCCATCTCAAGTCTGACCTGCAGTACCCCTGCTGCTTTTCCAATCCCAGGCCTCTCGCGAGTGGAGACTGCCAATGTAGCTCAACGGTGCCAAACTGTCTGGTGGTTTTGCGATATAGCCAAATGGGGACTACGATGAGATGAAACTCATTTCCACCCATGAGCCCAGCAAAGATGTGAACTTGGGTGAAAGGATGGAGTACCAGGCCACATAATGCTGAGCAGTCCTTACCAGCCATGTACTAAGAGACAAGGGAAAATAGAATAAATTGGGAGGAAAAAGACCCAAACAGAACAAACAGAAAACAAACTCTGCACAGAGACGTATTGGCCACAGAAAGGTATGTTGAGTGAATGTCAAAGAGATCCACAAAATAGCCCAAAAAGTATTTATAGTTTACTTTCTGACTTGCAAAAGAGAAGGACTGTCAGAATGGAATGCTAGACAACGCAAAGAATCTTTGACCTAGATTTTTTAAGGGAATTTTTAAGGGAATTATAGAAGGTAAGGTATACTTATTAAAACAAGTGGACCCTAAATGGTTTTAACTTCACCACGTTAGCTCCTGCAATGCCAATTTAAACTATCACTTTCTATTAAAAAAAAAGTAAGGTTAAATTGGGTGGTATTCAGTTCTGATTTAGAAACTCAATAGAAACCTAATGTTTAAGTCACAGTTGTAGCAGCTGAAACAGTATTTAAAGCTGTAACCATCCTGACCCAAATAAAAAAAAAAAAAGGAGAAAGGAAACCCTTTCCTTTAAAACTATTACTGTAGACGTGGCTTCAAGAATTGCATCAGCTGCTAGGGCTACAATTTGAGCTTTTTTTTTTTAATTAAATATATACATTAGCATTACAAGGGAAAGGAAATTTAACTGTTGTGTTTAACAAGTTTAATCTATGTACAGAAGCACTCATCTTGAAAGAAAGCTAAAGTTAAAAGAACAACCTATTAAAACAAGTTCTCTACTCATTTTTAAGTATCCCAGTTGCTTATGTTACAGAGAAAAAATAAAACCTCTTCAGAAATGTCTACAAATTTCCATTTGTAAATCAAAATTCGCATGCCCCAGGTACATGCATTTAGTTTCCAAACATATTCCAAATCCAGGTGTCACCACTCTCACACAGACTTCAAATCCACACATTTTTCCCTTTTTTATCTAAGCATGCTTTTTACTGTAAGCATTTTACTCAGAAATTTTGGAAGTTTTTCTTTTTTAATAGTAAATGGCACTATCTACATTCTGTTATTTTCACTCAGGAAACAAACAAATATGAGACTCATAGGGCTTTCCAAAGTGATGAGGAATGAGTGTGACAACATGCTACAAACATTTTACCTGTCCAGGGGACGTCTGGTGATCATTCTCTATACAGACCCTGTACATTATAAAAATGATTGAAGAAAAGTAAATATTTTTTTAAAAGTGTAACTTTTTACAGATACCTATAGAGAATACTAGAAAACAGTATAAAATGTAGTTTAGTAACGTTCTATTGCTTTTACCTGTAAAATGAGTGTCCTCTCTAGTGTATGTTGAAATCAATGCTAATGAAGCCAGAGAACATGTTTTAGAATTCTTCTAGAGTATATGCAGGGCTCATTTTCCAAAATAATTTTCAAACATATTGACTCTTGAATCAAAATATGTCTAAACCTGATGTTGTAGTGAATGAAATATATGTATGTTTTCAGTGCCTGGGAGAAAAATCTAAACAAAATGTAAACATAAACCCCGTCCATCCTCCACAAAGAAAAAAAAAATTCAATGTTTTGTTTAAAAATGTGAATTCCACTGCTTTTCAGAACTCTATTTAACAGAGGTGGAGAATGTGTAAAACCAATCTATAGATCTACCTATCAGCAAAATTATATCCATCAAAAATGTGAAGAGGTAATCCTGACCTGCAGTTTATCCTGCCAAAGCCTCTAGCATTGCAGTTATAGCATCAAACCTGCTTTTACTGGCATAACTACTTTGACGGAGAGTGTTCAATGTGTATGTGGTAAGTTATGCTGGAAAAGACAGGAGTTTATAGAGTATGAACTACATCCACATTAACAGTATTTTGCCAGAAGAGCGTATTAGCCAAGCAATCCTAGTACGGTCTTGCCTAACTTCAAGCTTTTCTTTGATTTCATCATCAGTGTAAAAACCTGCTGGCAAGCTTTGCACTCTGCTCCTGTAATTGACAATGCAATAACAGGTTGTGCCACCCACAGAGACTCTCACTCACATCAGCACAGCTTTTCACCAGCATATTGCTCTGTCTCTACATGATCAAAAATTGGATCAGAACGTTCTTCAGCACATTTGCGCAACCATAACCATCTAGCTACAGGTCTTATTAAGAAGGATGCTGAATTGCCCTGTTGGTGCCAAAAGCATTTGGAATTCTTATAAAAACATGCACACACATAAAATCAGGCCATATATTTAAGTTCCTAATGGAGATACAGTTATTTTCGTGTCTGCCATTCAAGTCTGGACATTCTAGGCCTTGTTTTTCCTTTCTGTGGAAGAAAGGAGAGCAACTATTACAAATGTTTCAAAAACCATAGTGTGTTTTGGACTTGAACACAAAACCAACATGAAATGGGTCTGTAATGGCTTCCATTATTTTGGTTTCAGCCAATAACACATCTTCACAAACTTCACTTTAGCACTGCTGCAAACAGTGGCGAATATTATTGTACTTAAGGGCATCTGGTTTATTTCACTATGTAAGCTAACGGTGCTTATCAGAGGGCTGTACACTAATATTCCCAAGCATACTTCATATTGCCAGTCAAAGAAACAGCATGGGGATTTTTTATTCTTTGAATATACAACTTTTCAGTTTTGCTAAAACCCACTTCTGAATCAAGCATGACCTCTATCTGCTGTAGAGAAGAATAAGAGTAACCTCAAAGAAAAAGAAAGAGGAATTAACTGTTTATTCACATCTTTTAATTACCACTGTATCTTTCTTCTGATCTGTTTACCAAATTACCGAAATCCAAAGTCTTAAGATAAAAACAAATTCCCCATAAACACCGCTCGTTTGAGTCAGATGATCTTGCTGGTTAATCATTTATACATAGCATACATCTGTAGTTATCCAAAGAAACCAAAACAAATGAGAAAAGGATTGGACCCCAGAAGTGCACTGGGATGGGAAAGTGAAGTACTGCCCTAACAGACATGGTCTGAGGAGCTCTGGTTGCATATAACACGTGAAGAAAGATTGTTTCATAGGGAAGTAAAACGTCCTGCATTTCTCCAGTACCCGCTGTGTCAACAGGAAAGAAATGGAGCCTGTCAGTACGTGTGATGTGCCACTGATAACTCTAGCCATCACTTTAGCCTGTCATCAATGAAGTAATGAGCATGTTGTTTACAGAAAATCATATTCACTACCTACTAACCCAAAACACACTGCTTCAAAGACTTTCACTCACGGGCTCGATTTTTCTGTAACACAGTGAGTACATTCACACTGCAATCTCTCAATTGCTTTTCCTGCCTAAGTAGATCATAAAAATACATGGTCAAGGAGAGTTTTTTTTCACATATTAGTGAGTGCCAGACAAAATCTGCTATTATACTTGTTTATACCCTCCAAGAATTTTTTTTCAGACTTTCAAACCTCTGTACCTCAAAAGTCTGTGTAGAATGTCACAATTTCCTTTTCCTTTCTGCATTCATCCACGCTTAAACACAAATTCAGAAAGAAACTTAAGCCCTGTTACCTTTCAAGGAAACATTTTCCTAACTTAGTCACAGACACCTTAAAAATGAATTTATGTTATGAAAAATTAAACATCTCTGAAATATAAGGTCGTGTCTTTACATAGCTAAATCTGAAAGGAGATGCCCAACTTGTAGCATTTAGGTTTGACCTCACTGACTTTCAAATTCCCAGGGGTAAATATTTTATCTGTATTTCCAGTCTACCACTGAACACTGTGTCATTTAATGATATTTGTGCCTACAATGAATGTTGTACTCAATTCTCTTTGAAACAAGTCAGGTCAGCTTTTAAACTATAAGAAACGTTTAATTTTAAATTCCCAGTCTTTTCTCCAGCAGCTGAAGATCTTTCACATCCTACTTCCCAAACAGACTGACCACCTACAGAACTGAAACCTGGTATTAAATACAATAGAATATTTTAGTGGCCAATTTCTGGGAGTTAATACAGGCAGGATTGTGATCCAGAACATGGCTCTATAATGCCATTACAACACACACTGGAGTATTTTCTATTTATATCAAGGAGATGGAAAGATGCTATGAGGATAATAATTGAATTAAAGACTGCAACTTCTATGAAGTCTTAACCACTTAAAATCACAGTCCCTGGGTAGCAACACACTGCTGAGTTCCAGTTTTGCCAAAAAGCATATACATGAGAAATAAGAAGGAAGTCTTATGACAGTCTGTACCAATATTCACAAGCATATTTTACAGTACTGGAATAGAGTAATTTAATCCTACAGTTAATATATACTAAACAATACCTGGCAGGAGCTGTTGGGTAAATTACTTTTATATGTTGGAAAGTCATGTCTTGATTCAAAATTTGTTTTATCCACGTTCTTGCTCCTTGGCCAGTATCACCTGTATCATACAGAAGAGTACAACAATAATTATTTTGTGCGTTTAAAAGGAAAACTATACAATGTCAAATATATTTATACCAGATTGCCCTGATTTCTAAATCGCAAAGTTAATCCTCCAAAATACTAAAAAAGAACCTTCTGGAATAACCTCAATTCCCTTTCCAAGGAAGATGGACTCAAAACCTCCTAGAAACAGACTACTTAAGCTTATGCTGCAAGGCCTCTTAATAACTACTTTACTACATCCAATGGTTTAAGTACCTCCTAATCACGCACAAGGCCTTACATCTTACTTGCAACTCACCTTATTTGTTGATAACAGCGATAAACAAAAAATACCGATGAACACCTTAAAAAGGTGAGATAAAATAACTGCTGCTCTCCTTAGAAAGGATAATTACTTTTACTACAGAATCTTATGTTGACCCACTTCAAAATCTAGTCAAGAGCAATAAAAAGGATCTTCACATTTAATTTTGCTAATATTACACATAGGTTTTAAGGGAAGTATCAGTCAAACACTCCCAATGTTTTGTAAAAGCGCTCAAGAGGTGAGTTTGGGTTAAAATATCTGGCAGGCTCCTCAAAAACCCTTAATCCCACAGTTCTGTTTGAAAGCTAGTCGATATCTGACTCTCAACATACTTTTTCCTAGCCTTATCAACTCAGCTTATAGCCAAAACCCCTGCAGATTGAAGTGCTATGAACAGATATACAGCTGAATTCTTATGCACATAGCATGTGTTCCTTTCAAACACACACGCATATGTACACCACACACTTCCTAGAGTGTGTCTTTGCATCACTGGTATCTTCAACTGTAACTTCACTGCCACCCCTCTGAAGAGCACGCATGAACAAGTCTCCAGTAAGAATTAAACAGTGCTTCAAGCTTGAAGAAACTGGCCCATCAAGGAATATAGTTTCTAGTCAGCAGTAACACAACATGTAGTAACGTTCAACCTAAAAATTTAGTGGGGATTCAGCCAACTGGAATTTTACTACTGCCACTCATGCCATAGGACTTTAGTCTTGTTTGAAGTTGAGGCTCCCACATATTATCAACTCAAACTGCTAATCTGAGGTAACAGTATTGGCAATTACTTTATCTCAAATTGGTGAGTTTGACTTTAGAACTTACTCTATTCTTTGCAAGAAAATGGCCAAGCCACAAGAAAAAAAATAAATCACTGCCCTAAGCCAGGCTTACTGACACATTACATGGCTTCATCTGAACAAGGCCACATGAATATACTGATTTATTGTTACAATGATTACAATTCCCCAATGAAGATCGGCTCTTGCTTTAGCACTCAAACAGAATTCAGTGATCTTTATTTACACATACAATTAATGCATCTTCAGAATTAAAACCGAAGGCAAGAAGGATCCAAACTCAGCATTTATTTTTCTGTTGAGCACAAATGGCATAACCGTGAAGTTCTCTGACCTAAGTACTCCAAGTAACAAATAAGAAATCGGATCGCAAAACTGACACAAATCTTATGTGAGCAGTATGGTCTGAAGTCCAAACACTCCTCTGATTCTAAGTAGACACTCTTGACACGCAAGGGTATCCTCGTGGTTGCTGTCCCCCAATTTATGAACAATATATTTTAAGGAGACTTGAATAAACATTGGTTTTTCTACACACTCTTCTTTTTCAATTAGAAAGCAAAAGTCTACGGTTTGCAAATACTTGAACAGGAACAATGCTCAGGTAGGTCAACCTAAGCAACTCTCTGAATGCTGACAGATTTGGGACTTACTTAGGTCTTTAGAAACGCCCTAAGGAGACATCTTTTATTATTTGTGTTTCTTAAGCTTTGCCAAGATGAACAGAAGCATATAGAGTTAATGAAGCTAGTTTGTCCATGAAAAGTTCATAGAAAACTCAGTAAGAGAAAGTTTAATTATTACCTTCCGCGTGTCAAGAGTCCCCATGGTCCAAATGCTCTGCAACCGCTGTGAGCATGTGCACGCAGAGGTAATGTATTTTGATTTGGTAAGAATAGAATTTGGAGGGGAGGGAGAAAAAGGAGACTGACACCAAACAAAACCCAACAACTTTCTGAAAGGTTTGTCTTTCAGGCTGTTCTTATATTTTAGCATTACATGTTCTTCTGAACACTACTACTAAAAAACAGCAAACAATGCACAGACAATTCTGCTGAGTCTGTTTCCAAACCTGAAATAGATGGCAGCAATATTGTTTCCCCTTCACCCCCATAAGTAAAATATGAATTATTTTCCTTTCAAATATAGCTTGAATTTCCAAATTTGCTTTCTGTGCAAAGTTTAAACTTAACAACATGTAATATGCATGTTACAACATGCAAAGTTGCAAACCTAAGTCTAAAAAATTATTATATATTTGTCATGTTCATGTGCCTTCCCTGCTGAGCTACCAAATGGATCCTCCACCTAAATTTTATGTACAATACCAGGATGTTTCTAATATTTTTTCTATACCATTTAGCACTTACATTCTCCACTTGTTATAGTTTGTCTGGAGCAAGCATTACGAACAAAATGGATTCATGCCATTTGACTGCCACTTTCCATCACAAGCATTGTACAGAAGGCACCAATTCAGGTTTACAGGCCAGCCCACAGCAATGGCACTGTGGCTACTTCTGTTTTAAATTCTATTCTGCAGAACTGCTAAACAAAACCAAATAAAAGTACCCTTGTACTTCCCCACTGCAAACATTATGAATGAAATCATATCAAAAATGAAAAATTGTAGAGTACTTTAACCACATGTGGAATCAACCTCTAACCATAATCTTCCCTTACTCCTCCAACATGACAGAAAATTATTTCCTCAAGCATTAAAGCATTAGCATTAACAAGAGGGCTGAACATCTTATGAACTCTCTTTCACTTTCATTCTTTAACTCACAGAATTTAAGAAAAGCAAAATTAAACTAGATTATAAAAATGAAACTAATGTAATGAGCACATATGTATTTGTTAAGCTAAATAGAAGCATCAGCTAAAAGCAAAACTAAGAGAAAGACACTGAAAGAGTTGAGCACATTGCCATATGCACATGGACAGCTCAATAGCATTGCCTCCCAAGGCCCTGATCTAATAAAGGCCTGTGATTACGGGGTTGGGTTTTTTTGTCATTTAAGTCCTGTGAACTTTGTTGTTGTTACTTAGCAGATTAGAAATAACCTTGAAGAAAAAGCCCCAACAAAACAAAGACTCCCCTCCTGCCCTCTGACGGGTCACTGATGCAGGAAACTACCGTCTGCAGAGGTGGGGGCCATGAAGCCGGTCTGGGCACGGCTAGGACCCTTCTGAACGGGCAGAGGTCAGTCCAGTAACACTGGTTTCTATAAGGTGACAACAATACTCTCAGCCTGATCCTAAAAATGCCAAGAGCCATTTCAATTATGAAAATCATCCTTTGCATATGGCTACTTTTAGACAGGACAAATTACGAAGATATCTTCTGAAACACGTTTGTTCTCATGGTGAGGCAAGCCAGGCGGGTGTATAACAGCACCGTCCCTAAAGCACACTCCACGGACCCACCGCAGGCCCAAACGCTCGGCCCAGCCCACGCAGAGGCACACCGCTTTGCCCATGGAGCCTCCTCCTTGCCGGGCAGCGCCGCACTGCCCGCATGGGATGCCAGAGCCGCAGGGACAGGGGCACCTGACACCCCTTCTCCTCGCTTTCCAGCCGCC